CTGAAAAGAGACTAAGTGAAATATTTAACCACTTAGAAAGGATAAGAATTATCGAAGACAGGTCAAGTGCATTGATACTAAAGGATTATGGTGTGATTTTTAAGGTGAACAGCTCATAATACTTACATTAAGCGATGGATTCTAAGTTGGGAAGCTTAACAAAAGTAATTTACTAGTGCATTTAAAAATTGACCTGTGGAATGATACACTAGCAATTTATATTTTATTTATTTGTTTTTATGGAAACATCAAAGTAGCAGTGTTAGTTTAACCAGTGTTTATCAAAGGATCTTACCATATCACCAGTATTTGATGCATAAGCCTGTAAATGTCATGGCAATAATCGGATAGGCTTGGTTAGCTTATACAAAACCTATATGACATATGCACCCTTTTTAGTTATATAAGTTACAATACATTACTAAGTAGATTTACAAAATGTAACACATTCCTGGCTAGTTCTACTGGTATTATTGTCTTTTACGTGATTTCAAAATGTATGATGAAAGCAGATGCTTTGGATTGTCTTAAACAAGTGCGCAATGTTTACTTTATTCGACTCATTTGTCGATTGTCACAACTAACTCGAGACTCATTCTTAATATATTTAAGTACCAGTTTAACAACTTATTTGGAGATATTTTACTGGTCCCAAGCATTTTCATTAAGTTAAATCTGCTTTGGTTTTAAGTTTATAAATCTAATTAGGATTTTTTAGTGTACACCAGGGTAATTATGCACAAAAATGTTTGTAAACTATTTAGTGTATCAAGGTCATTCAGATCAATTTTTGTTTGCATGCGATACGTCACAGATATTTGTGACAATGATGATCTCTTTGTATTGTGGTAGTTTCTCTGCAGTGTAGTTGATTCGAGACACAACAGACTAATTAGCAAAAAAATAAAGCTCTCAGTCAGCTCATTATTTGAAGATTTTTTCTAGTTTATCGATATCTGGGCTTACGCAAAACGTACTAATAGCGTCCTTAGAAATAATCTTAAACTTACTACAACACATTTGCTCACAATTATTATTCTAATAAAAGACTGATAATACTGAAAAATTGTCGCGCAATACTGTAGACTAGCTAAAGTTAGACATTAGCACAGTTGGATACCAGTTCAATGGTCGTTCGCGTGAGACGAAATGTCCTGAGTCCAAGCCCCGCGTGCAGCCTTGTGGATGGGTACTGCCTAGAAATCTTGCACTGAGATGGAATGGCCGTCCAGTGGTGGTCAAACATTGATTGGCTCATGATTTCAATTAAAACTCAGCAATCTCCATAAGCCTATGCTAGTAATGGTGAAAATGATTTAACAAGCTATTTTCCGGTATTTTGAACTTGATTTGGAACAAAATCATCGACTTGTGATTGTAAATAAACTTTAGCCTTCGAGAAAAGTATTAGTCGATACATCCCTCTGAAATTTAATGACGATTACGATCTCAACCTACGTTCTGTGTAAGATTGGTACTGGATTTCAAAAATTATATTATTATTCTCTTAATACTGATATAACTAGCTAATAACAACAAAACAATTTTTCTCTGTAGCTTGACATTCTTGAATCAGGGTCGTGATTGCTGGACCATTGAGATTCTTGTTTGAAATCAGCTTAATGATTTTTAGCACAAAACACTGCTTCAAAAATCCGTATTATTGACAATGAGTAAAATGATTAAATTAATCGATAAATCTACTCACACTGTCTGCAATAACTAAAATATTTACGTTAACTCAGTGACTTTTAAGGTCGAGTAAAACAGTGTAACACAAAATTACTTTTTTCATTGTTATGAATGAAACAGACAACCACAAGTACACATACATATCATGCACCAAATCGGGGCTGTCTTCTTCATATTAGCATGTTTAATTAAATGACTAAAATTAATAAGACTCTATACTTCCAAACATTTTAAATATTATAACCAGTTGTTTGATCGTTGTTTCTTCACCAAGTTAGTTCGAAATAAAATAAACATGAAGTCTGGTTGGGGACCGCGAGATGATAACAACCGATAGTTAGAGACTCTGAATGACGGCTCAAAATCGTTTGCAATGGCGCAGATGCATCCACTCTCTGTATTCTCTCAAATTCTAATCTTCTGAATTCTTCATGTCCCTTTTTGCTCTACCCAAATTTATTTCACTGGATTATACTCCTTGAATAACATCTTCAAACTCTAGTCTTTCCGATCAGTGCTTATACTATTACTACCTCTACCACTACTGCATCTCTATGCTAATGTGGTATGGCAACTCGAACTGATCTACATACGTACGAAGTTCTACGTTACTGACTGACTAGTGGCTTTAATATACACATCATCCTGATAAATATTGCTTCGCTGGATACAGTAGCAATACCATATGAGTTATCGATTTTCCGTGTCCGTTCCCCGCAATAACGCTTTGTATCAAACCTTTTTGTTGACTAGCATAACAGAAATAGCACACGATAGACACATAAAAACCAAGCCATTTCACCAGATACAGAGCTCCGATTCTGGTTTTAGGCCTAATATTTTGTTACAAAAAACAAACTGAATAATGTTTCGAGGTTGGATTTATGACATGTGAAAACTAGATATTGTTTCGTCGAAAACATTACCGATAATCTGAACTGTCTGCTTTCGTATTGCATGGCTAAACTAGAAAGTAGATAGTTGATATAAGTAACTCTTTATTGTGCATGATCAGTGGTGATAAATTGTTTGCGGTAAAGAAACGTATACATGACATGAACCGGCCAACTGAAGTTATTTAGATTATTCACAAGGTGCTACTTCAGAAACAATTGAATATAGTACATCAAATGAGTGCTATGCTTAACGGTTCAAAACAATTAATTCTGGGTCTTATGAGCCAGGTAACACAAAGAATGTTGGAGTACACATCTTAATATGAACAGAAGTCACTATTTCCTGAGTTTTACCAGAGGTTTGAAGTTATCTAGAAAATGCACATAAATTATGGACTAAATCAAGTCATACATCGCAGTAACATATTATTCACCTTCACTCCCTTCTATCCAATGTTAATGTTTGCAATTTAAGTCCTTTTCGTCACATACTTCATAGCCTTGGACAACCGTTCGCGAATTAAGATTTAAAAATATATTCATTGCTTCATTTTAGGAATAAAAAAACTATAAGGTCACACTGAGATAAGACTGCTGAGGTAGTAGGTAGGGAAATTATTCTGAGATCGATTCCGACAAACATTTTCGGTCTCGTACCATACTTTACACCTTAAGCTAACTTATTTAAAGTATATAAACCGTGGTACGATAGGGTGAATGACAGTACAGCCACTAAAGAAGCAAGAATTAGTACTTACTGAGATCGTCTAACTGGAAGCATTCGTGAAAGACTTCTCGTGGATAAAGAGGACCACCTCATTATTATAAAGTGTAACATCAAAAAGAGTAGGTTTACCACAGGATTCTCTTCTGAGCTATATCTCAGTCTCAAGCAACTGAGGTGCATGGTCTCAAGGATCTTAACGGAGTTGTAATTGACCAACAGATCCTAGTTTAATGCAGCAACCTCTCATTCCATAGACCGACCAACCTTTTCACTTTATGACCAAACCACGTTGACAACTTACGAAGTTATGAGGATTATATCCGTTAAGAACGATCAAACCACTGAGTCCGGCGTCTCTAGAAAGAGAAATCGGATTACGTTCACCATACCCGAATAAACACTAATGCTCCTACTAAATGCCCTGTTACGACCGAGTCTGCTCTCCTTCCCGAAATGCTCTCACATGGCCACGTGTATATAGCCTCTGCCAGGAAAGTCCTGGAAAACCCTGATCCCAAACCAATGGTGCACATGGGCTCCAGTATCCTGAAGAAACAAATGGCGTATGAACCAATCGTTGGTCACCGGCTACCATGGGACTGCATCTCTTTACGATGCTTCACTGCCTTGTGGATCAGACGTTTAGGTCGAAGGCTCGGGGTGTGGTCCCCTAAGAAAACCACCTGCTTCGGTTTGGGCACCCGAGCAGTATCGCAGCCCTCACACAAACCAAGAGATTTGTGTGGCACATAGGTATCTTGTGCCTCCTTGTACCAATATCTATGTATTCAAATAAATAAATAAAACAAATGACTGATTGCACCTCGTCCGATGTATCACAGACAACGATAACCAGTCACTGGGAACCATAGAGCAGAGGTAGTCCCACTGATGAGTTGTACACTTGATCCCCTAGACTCGCATCAGCAAGGAGCCGCAGATAAACACAAGTCACTCTGGGTCTTCACATAAATTTATTTTGTTTGCCACGATACCATGAGCACTCCTTCGTTCGCAATAGCTCACGTGTATTTATCTTGTTTTATCATCGTTTATATGGTGCTAAGCTGTCTTACTATATCTACTTGTGAAATCATTCTACTAATGTTAGTAAGCAACCAACACCCGAGACGTCAACAACCAACAAGTTCCGAGGACGATTCACAAAACCATATCGGATTGTTCATAGGACATAAAGACACCCAAAGACCTGAGCACTGACGAAGCAAAGCTTATGGACGAACCGAATTTCTCCTGTCCGTCGTATTTCGTCAAATAGGTTGAACGAATGATTAGTCCTAAATACTTCAGCGCGCAAATGTAAGCATCAAGAATGACCTTTGACACTGAATTTCGGATACTATAATTTCCGTGAACACAAAATTTACGAAGAAATAGTGATAAACAGCTTGTCACGACTCCCATTTGTGGGTAATATAATGAAAATTGGAATACGAACGAAGGAGCACTACTGTTTCTACTACTTAAATGCTATGCTATTAGGACACCATTGTAAGAAATAAGACAAAAGCTGGATGTGGAAGAACTATACGTTCTACTATTAGTGAAAAATTGGATGACTTATGGTACAACTCTGAGTTATCGGGAAACAAATAGAAACCTTATACCAATAAAACTAACGGTATTTGATGGCCTACCAAAAGTAAACGACAACAAAAAATTTGCATTAATTTCTGTATTCGACAAATCAATGCTAAGTGGAAACAAACATGAGTTAGGGTCTTATTAACGCGTAAACAAAAAACTTATCTGAAATATATGTACAATGTTCTAATAGGTTGGACTGAGAAGTTAGTAATCTTCAGCACCCTCAGGAGGACGTCGGGCGGCACTGAATGGTGAAGTATTGCGCTTCGTGGACTTTGAAGAGGATGAGTGGTCGTAACGGTGACGATCGTAAAGTTTTCGCGAACGTGAACCGGATCTAGATCTACCAAATCTCCGCCTTTCATCCCGAAAATCATGTCTGGATCGAAACCGACTGCCCCCACTTTCGTGGCGACCATGTCGGGAAGCATTGGAGTGTAGATGAGAACTGAGAAAATAAACAAGAACAAAATAGCAACTGAAAAGTGGACAAAAACACTCAAAGATAATAGTGAAAAATACCTAAAAATTCACCTTGCGTATATCTTAATCGAACTTTACAATCTATGTTAAATAAACTACTTAGGGCTTTAAAAGTAAATATACCTTGTGGAATCGATTGCCTCCGCAATAGACGATGACTCCAAAATTACCTAATAAGCGGAATTAAAATCTGCAATAAGTACCTTTTTAAATTATTCCAATCGAATCACATTAATTCATCGGGGAACTGTGATACTACTAACCACAGCTTACGTTTAGAAAAAAGAACGTACTTTCGCTCTACACTCCTACCACGGCTGCGACGACGATCACGATCCCGAGAAATAGGAGAGCGATCAGCTGGAGATCGTTTATCCCGTCGTCCATAACGCGAAGAGGAATTCGAATGCTTCTCACTGTATTGTCTTAAATAGTCACGAATTTTCGCATAGCCAAGGTGCATTTTACCAGACAAATGCTCTTCAACTCGTTGAGGTGCATCGTCTTTGATTCTGAAGGCTCCACAAATCTCACAAACTTCCAACTCTTTAGTCTGAAAACAAGTTAAACAGAAAGGATTAAAGAAATAATAGTGGCATACCTGAGTCATTCCGGGGCGCGCATCACCCTCGAGCTGTGAACGCTCGAATTTTAGCTGTTCACACAATTTAAGAACTCCCTGTGCTTGATCAACCTTTCCTTCAGTTCCCAATTCCTCAGCTTGTTTCACCAAGTCATTAATTCTTTTGGTGAGCGCAGCAATTTTTTCTTTCTTTTCACTGGCTCCGATCGGATCTGGATTGTTAACACATTTATTGACTGCCAATCGCTCATGTCCTCGCCGAATTCTTTTTTCAACATCCTCCAAAAGCTGGGTAAGATAGTGAACAAAATCTTGCTCGTACCCCATCTTTCCAAAACGAGAACTCTTTTTATACGATTCTCTCATGCGCTCATCATGGGATTTAGGACACTGACCCAAATCCGTCTTTGTATTGACAAATAAATCATGAGGACAGAAGCCACACAAATAAAACTTGCATACATCATCATCAGACCAATGTGGACCACCAGAGCTCTCACCATTACAAGCATTTCTGTTTTTTCCCATTAGCTCATCCAACAGAGCTTTCTGAGCGGCAAGAGCCATTTTTAATGAATAACTACAGAAGAAACAAGAAATGTCTATGATAACCATCAGGATAAACAGCTAAAACGATAGACAACAAACGAGTTCATAGCACAGAGGAATCGGTATTGAGATACGCCTTTGTACGTGAAACGAAAGAACCCTGACACTTGGGGAAACTGAACTAGTGTAATATAAACATAAAGCAATCAACACTTGAGTGATTCTGCACACGGGAAATTCTAGTAAAAAGCTTTGGGAAAAAGATGAGAGACCGAATGCTGATATGTCAGGACGTTACTCCACATCGGTTTCTTCTAATGTAGCAATAATGAAGATGAACTTTTAAGGTGACATTGTGTTCTAAAAAACCCTGTTACTTCTTACATTAGCATAAGTGATCTACTAGTGACAGTGCGTTAATAATCCGAAAAAAGAACGACCAACGTGGATACTTTTATCACGTATGTAGCAATCTATGCCCGGCAAAGTCAAACCTTTCAATACTGTAACTGTTATAGAAACACTTTAAAAATATACTGACTCTACTGATAAAAAAATTGTAGTGACTCACTGAGTTGATTTTACATACGTAAAGAACTATAAATTGTAAGTCAATTTTTCGAGTGTGCGCTTGTCCCAGTCCCTTTAAAAACACAGGTTAATTGGTAACATCAGTTTTACAAAAACTGCATGAATGTATCAGAACTACAGCAATGAAACACGTGAACCACAACAGAAAATAAGTTTAAATGGACCTAGAACCACCGCTTAATCATTAGGCGACCTATTACGAATATGATTGTGTAAGTGCACTCACGAAAATGTCATGCACTGCAAGATGAATTTTCAGAAATATCATTAAACGGACTTTTAAGCTGCCTAAAACTTCGAATTCAAACTATAAGCTACAAAAATAATAACCAAAGTTCAGTAGTTAAAGTCTTCTTTGAAAACTGTGAAGACCAGCAAATGTACAATATTTTCACGGTGAGATGACTACGTAAAAACAGCGAAATGATGCTTAAAATAAGTGAAAAGCAATGCATGAAAACTACATTCGATAGTATTAAATAACTTCTTAATACTCGACGAACAGGGCATTGTGTTTATTTGACCAGAACCTCTACTTACAAATCTATCAATAGATATCCATTGGTTACTGGAGCCCGAACGACTAAAATGTACAAAGCTCCCAAGAAATCTAGACATATATGAAAGTAACCAGATGATTCGTTTCTGTACACGCAACTGGAGAAGAGTTTTAGATCATAAATAGCATTATATTAGCAGTACCATAGATTCCAAAAGGTGAAAGCAGACATATTAATTCCGGCGAGTTTTCTTCTGGACAATAGGTTTGCAAGAATCGTTAAGTGCCATCATGGATTGCTTGCTCATGTCGAACACACCAGTCCTTCACACTTACATAACGTTGGGCCTGACATACACAAGCCGACCTATTCTGGATAGAGGACATACTTGAGATTTACGTAACCTTGTACAACATAGACCTCATCACATAATCGAAGGTAAAACCCACTCACGACTGTCTTGAAAAATTCGATGTACTGAATTACCAGACTAAGAGGAATTTCCAGTTAAAACAATGACGAAATGGTTGAACCCTGAATGCACGTTGAAAAATTTGAAAGAAATTGTTTGTGAATAGTTAGAAAATTTACTGTCGACAGCTACAATAATTGTCCAGTTCCAGAAAACATTGCGAATTAACATTATTATTTGGACGTTATATCAGGACCGACAAGTAAGCTAATTACAATAGCAAAACATGCATCAAAAAAGGGTAACTCGACGCACCCCACTAAAAACACTGACCCCTGTATGCGCGAACAACCAACAGCCAATATGTCGTCCTACCTCACCAACAAGATAATTAAAACACGAAGTTGGACTTCCTGCAAAAAACAATCAAAACTGATATTATCAACATTTTATAAGTTTAAATTATCCAATTGTTGTAGAATATATTATTTTAATTATGACCTTGATTAGTAAATAAAGGCGTGACTTGAAAGTCTTCGTAACAATTGATTGCATGAAAATTCTCTAGGTAGCGCATGACTTGTAATTGTGCTTTAATGAAAGATGAAATTATATACCGTCATTCTCTAGTAAGTTACAAACCTATGATAACAATTTAAGTATGTTGGATCGTTTCCTGTTGATGAGCAGGACAATAAATGCAGAGCTCAAAAAGTCCAAAAGGAACTTGAATCATTACGAGTATGTTATTTATAAAAACCAGTAGATTAAAACACTAGTGCTTTACACGTAGCAAGTCTGTGATCGTATGTGTTTCCATTAGTGGCATAAAAATATGTTCAGATGATCTGAAAGTATGTTTAATTTGAAATTAACACTACCTTCCAACAGATTGTTTATATGGCCCATGCTCTTCGCAGAATATCATATGCTACCTGTGATGCCGTCCACAAACAAGTTGCATTTTTGGCGAGGGAACCATCAGGGTTTGGTAATCTACAGTATTGCCATGTGTTTGTGACGGAATCGCCGTGTGATGTAAGTTCTCAATGCATTGTTATCTTGCCTCTTAAGTGAAGCATCTTTAATTGTGATACATTCCGATAATTCTTAATGGCAAACTTTTGGGGCAATAGGATGTTTGTTAACATCAAAAAACTATCTAAAACTTGTGTATTTCTCACTCAATGTCGTCATTATAATCGATTCTTTTCTTCCACAGGATAATGTTTTTGCGTGAGGATATTATGTGTAATGTATATCTTGTGTATACGTCCACTTTCGACTGGAGCTTAAAAGTCCAACACCAGTCTGTTACACTTAATTGATCCGGGCTGTACTGTGCTTTGTAGCTGGATACTTATTATGGTGATTGGTGACATAATATATCAGTGTAAATAATTTTTCTAAATCGTCAGTTATGTTTCACTTTAGGTTTGCAACTAGTACTGGAAAGGCACCATAAACTTAATTAACAACATAATGATTTCTAAATATCCTTTGTTTGGTGGCTAACCCCTATCGAATTGAATAGATTAGGTGAACCCGCTTTATAACCAATGGATTTAAAATTGTCTTCACTAACTTTTAGTAGTTTTCTACGTGTATTTCGGTGTATATTTTCTCATGTTTGTCATATGCTTTTTGCTGAAACTACGTAAAGTTCGATTTCTTTTGATCACTGACCTTTTATAAGAAATAGAAATCCCGTGTGTTAACCTTAAGAAATCAGTTTGATTTACAATTAATGTGATCTTTATAATCACCTATTATATTTCTTGATCTTAAAGTAGGATTCGATTGCGGGTCATAAGGTTTTGTGGGTGTATCACTGAAAAGCGTATTAAGAAGTACATTAACCATATAAAGGTCATACTCGAACACTACTGATCCAATCAGAGTTCATAGCGGACTGTTATCGGGTTCAATAACGAAGTGGTTGTCCGCTTTCCCTACTTTTGTTTGACCTTGTCCCTGGCATCCTTTTAGATATACAATTCATTTAACTTACCAGCAACGGATCTTTCATGAGATTTTTTTACTGACTTGGAATGCACAGATAATATAGTCTTGTTTTCTGAAGACGCTAATATGATGAAGTCTTCTGACCACCTTAAGCAACAATACTACCATGTTTGGAATGTAATTCTCTCTCTGAAAATGCAAAACGTTCCTTCACGATTGGTTTGTTTCAGTCTTCGAATTAATAATACGGAACTGAGTAGTTAAACTCATCGACCGCTTCACTCATTTAAGAAGTCTCTTCAGTCCTGGTGTCTGACGAAATCTCAACGCGGATTCAAAAGGTTCGATTGGTTTTTCCCAACTTGTGTCATTGGCGAGATATCGATGAGTTTGCTGAGCATCTGTTCGCTCCGTTTTGGTTTTATAAGATCTTGAGTGACATGGCTCAAGATCATTTGCAATGGCGCAAATGCATCCACTCTCTGTGTTCTCTCAAATTCTAATCTTCTGAATTCTTCATTTCCATTTTTGCTCTACCCAAATTTATTTCACTGGATTATACTCCTTGAATAACATCTTCAAACTCTAGTCTTTCCGATCAGTGCTTATACTTTTACTACCTCTACCACTACGGGATTTGAATCGACAACTGCATCTATATGCTAATGTGGTATGGCAACTCGAACTGATGTATGTCCGTACGAGGCTCTTATTTATTTATTTGAGCACAAATATTGGTACAAGGGGGCACCAAATATATCTGCGTCACACAAAACAATGAAAATGGGAAGAGAAAAAAAAGAAGGTAAGGAGCGTAAAAGAAAAAAAAGAACAATAACGACCAGATTAGTGTAATAATAATAATAATAATAATAATAATAATAATAATGGGTGAAACGTAAAGGTACAATCAGAAGAATTCTCTCAGTTAACGAAGATACAACCACTTTTTATGTAGAAAGTAAAAGGTTATAGCAGGATCGCCACTGGCTTCTATGCTGAGCCATATCTGATTACGTCTCTAGTCACTGTGTTGTGCCTTCTCTTGGACCCCAGCCAGGGAGTCGTGAAGGACCAACAGAGGTCAGCCCGTTGCACACTTCTTTCATACCCCGACATCATGTCATACACTGACCACCTCTCCGCTTTTTCCAACCAGTCCCAGCGTCCGCAAATAATGCACGACCGTAGCTGCTACCTTGAAGTGGTGGTCGGGCTTGCCTATCGTGATGACTCAACCGAACTATATTGGAATATTAAAGATTCCCATTGTGAAAATTAGAACAACACATATAAGCGAACAATTGTTTTCAATTAGATCATCATCAGGCTTTACTCTAATATACAGTAATATTTATACGAAAATGTTAAACCAATCAAGGCAATTTTGGGTCAGTAATTACAATGAAATGGAATAAGTCATCACACAATAGATAAAAGTACAAATTGATAGTAGGAAGGCAGGTGTACTGATAGTAGGTAAGAATAATAAAATACGATAACAAAAGTCTTATAAATATTTAAACATTGGGAATAGTAGGTCAAACATGGGTAAATGGAGTAGTTATCACAAAACATTAAAATCATTACGTAATAAGAAGTGTGTAAATAATTAAATAGTGAAGAATGCAAACGGAAAGAGGCGGATAATTCCAAACAAATAATGGATGAGTAAATAAGGTTAATGATAGAATACTAATACTAATAGAAATAATAATAAAAGAAAAATATAGAAAATAAAAATTAATCGTTAGTTAAGTTATAACTGGCCATGGAAGGGATAGGGGAGTTACAAATTTCTTCTGTACACATAGATTGGGGTTATATGTACGGATTCCTATGGCTTCAGCCATGTGTAGGAGACGGGAAATGACGGAGGTATACGATAGATCACTCGAAATGATTTCAATTTATCTACCGCACGACCACTATCAATAAAATGTGCCAGGATTGAACTGCGTACTGTTTTTATCTGGCCGTTCATGAACCAAGTTGGTAGATGTTCACTCATTCGTTGGTTAAGTTGTCTGGTTGTACGCCCGATATAGCTATCTCCACAGGAGCAGCTGAATTTGTAGATGCACATTGAGGAGGCCAACTCAGGTAACTTATCCTTCGTTTGAGTAGACATCGCTGGTCGACAAGAGAAAGTCAACGCAAGATTGGCTGCGTAAAATGTTCTGCTGATTACTTTCGTTAACCTATATTTCAGAGTATCACTAGCCACATCCCCGTTGAATTGTAGTTTCATGTATAAAGGTTTCTTACGAACAGTCGAAATCTCCGACTTCTTTTTTATATCATACATGTACTTCTTAATGAAAGCCCCGGGGTAGCCGATCTCGGTCAGTGAGTTGTTAATAAATTCAAACTCCTGACTTAAAGTATCACCTGTACAAATCTTTTTTGCTCTGCTTGTGAGACATCTAACCAAATTTCTCTTGTAGCGGATAGGTGTGAAACTGCAGAAGTGGATATATTGGCAGGTAGAGGGGCTTTTTCTATACACGCTTCTACTTAATGTGCCATCACATCGTCTGCTTAGTGTGACGTCAAGGAAGTTCAGCTTTTTGTCATGCTCGCATTCACCAGTGAAACTGATCGCTGGGTGAACACTGTTAAATTGTTCTAAGAGTTCCTCCTTACTGGTGTTTTGATCTGCGATAATGAAAATGTCGTCAATGTAGCGGCAATATAGATCAAGCTTCTTAATAGTCTCATTAAGAGGTCCATTTTCTAGCTTTGCTAGAAAGAGATCAGCTAAAATCGGGCCTAGAGGTGAGTCCATGGCTATCCCGTCTATTTGTCTATAATAAGCATTGTTGAAGACAAAATGGACATTCAGCGTGCATCTTAGGAGCAGTTCCTTTAAACTCTCAGGAAAGCCAATGTTGATTTGTTTTTCTGATATTTGCTTGCATATAAACTCGATAGTCTCCATAAGTGGTACGTTGGTGAACAAAGATACTACATCAGTAGAAATCATATTTTTCATGCTGACATTTATATTTTCCATTTTGGAGGTGAATTCGAAGACATCTTTTACACTATTTCTAACAACAGATTTGTGCAAAGGCTCTATGATTCGCACTAGCCACTTTGCAATTTTGTGGTACGGAGAGTTGTACATATCGAGAACTGGGCGTAGAGGAAGACCCGGTTTATGAACTTTGGGCAAACCGTAAAGTCGTGGTGTATATGATCCAGTCGGCTTAATTGAGTCATGAATCTCAGTCGTAATTATTCCCTTTTTCTTTAGATCCTTAAGGAGATTAGCCAATTGTTTTTCTACTTTATTATTGGTATAATTACTAGTAACTATCTGAAATTTGCTGGGATCACTAAGCATAACTTCCATTTTTTCGATGTAATCCTTTTTGTTCATGAGAACTATACCTCCTCCTTTTTCTGGTTTGCTTATGATCAGGGTTTCATCTTTTCTTAGTTTCATTAAAGAGTCTCGGTGCTGCTTGGTTAGTAGGTGATTTGTGGTACCCTTACTATTCTTGTATTGTTGGCAGCTATCAACTAACGTGGTCTTAAACCGAGCAAGATCCTCCAATGAGGTAGGAATCAAGTCAGCTGTTTGTGAAAATAGATTCTCAAATTGTAAATCAGTGTCCAATTGGCTGATCTTATGCCTACTATCACAGAATTTAGGCCCCTGCAGGTTCTACCATGCCAGGCAAGTCGATTGGAGAATGGTAAGACTAAAAGCAGCAACTCAAGGTCTGAGGGAGAAGTCGTAATGCTGACTGTACAGAGGTGTAACAGCAGTAAGGTGTTTCCGTCGGACAACCAGCATCTGCGGCGGTTCTGCCTTCTCACAGGGAAGGAAGGGGCTAGAAAAGGTTGACCCTAAAAATGTCACACCTCACCTTACCTCATGGATTTCCGTCTCCGGCGGTAAGGCCCTTTGAAGAACAGAACTAACACATTAAAAACCTCCCACATAAAGGCCGTGCGCGACCGGCCTCAAGCAGTTGTCCCTTGGGCTCTGCGGTCACGCACCCAGGTCGCTAAGACCAACACTAATCTGATTTCCTTTTCAGGTTCCTCAAGAAATACCCTTCCACGGTGTGGGCAACTGGGAAGTGACATCAACCCTCATACCCGTAACAGCACACGAGACCAAGTTGGTCACATTCGAATCCTTCCTACACCTCCTAATAACTCTCTTATCTCCACGACTAACTCTTCTTACGTCCCTTTATCACCTCGCACCGCTAGGGCGAACGATTCATGTACACGGAACGTTATTCCCGGTCTCCTGAAACCACTCTCTAAACTACACGTAGGAGCTTTCAACGTCCGAACACTGTGCCAAATAGGACAACAGGCTTCCTTAGCTAGGACTTTAGAATCTCGCTCCATCAATGTGTGCTGCGTCTCCGATACGCGCATACTGGATCCGAGTAGTGTCATTCATTTGACCTCACCTTATCAAAGTAACGAACCAACTAGATTTACGCTTCGTGTATCTGGAAGCCCTGATGCTGCTTCCCGTGGCCTTGCTGGCGTAGGTATAGCATTGAGTCCTAGGGCAGAACTAGCTCTCTTAGACTGGATCCCAGTAGACAGTCGTTTGTGGTTAGAGACCTTGAATGACATGGCTCAAAATCGTTTGCAATGGCGCAGGTGCATCCACTCTTTGTGTTCTCTCAAACTCTAATCTTCTGAATTCTTCATGTCCTTTATTTTCTTTCCCAATTTATTCCACTGGACTATACTCCTTTAATAATATCATCAAACCTTAATGTCCCCTATCACTACTTATACTTTCAGTACCTCTACCACTACGGGATTTGAATCGATAACTGAATCTCTGTGCTAATGTGGTATAGCAACTCGAAGTGATGTACGTACGTACGAAGTTCCATGTTGTTACTGACTGACTGAACTACATCTATCAGTTTCGGTATTAAATATTTTTGAACCCAATTTAGAAAATTCCGGAATCACTACTTCAGTTTATCCAATTAAAAATAGGAAGTAATTCGACATTTTCATCTTTTATTCTTCGAATATATGCTGTAACCCGCACAGGTAGTATGCTCCATAATATATCCCACCTTTATTTAGCGAATGAGTGTCGGTATAAGACTTTTAGTTATCTTTTTTGACATTTTCCTCCCTTTTATTCGTTATTTCTAACCAAGATTTTAATCGTCATTTACACAAATGGCTTTTACTATGGATACACCTATTGCCTCATATATTTACTATCTATTGGACACTAAAGATTGTATAAATGTTGTTCTTGTCAGTGCAGAAAAACTTAATCTTCGTAGAAAGGGTCGAAGACCTTGTTGTATGCATTTTTTATCTTCAAGTCTTGAATGTTCTGTTATTATATATGTAATTATTATTATTATTTATTACAATCCCATTCTTATCAATCAGCTCTTCATACTCGTTAAAAAATAGTATAGACTGTAACCTGCTATTTGGTTTATATCTTAATGATCAGTTTTTTAAACTAGTTTTCGTTATAAATGACTCATCAACCATTTATGTTAATTAAGTTGCTTTTGATTTCTAGTGTGTTACATCAGATATCTGTTCTAGCTACAAAACTATTTTTTCTTTGTTATATCATACAAACACAAAACTTTTTGGTCTTGCTTAAAAAAATATGTATCTACAGTATTTAATATCAATAAAAATCGAACGAAATTATGTGCTTTTGTCACGTAATATTCCTGAAATCAATTTCAAAATATGTATTTGACCCACTACTGTAAGGAAGCCCCCAAATGCCCTGGTACGGCCGAGAGTGGGGAGAGTCCGCTCACCCTCTCGAAATGCTCTCACATGGCCAGGAAAGTCTTACTCACTGCCTTCTCGTGGCGGGGGTGTTGTTTACGAAATTGAGAGGACGAAGAGCGCTTTAACCGAGTTGATGGACATGGAGAGTTTACCTAGGGGAGTTGGAAAACCCTGATTCCAAACCAAAGGTGCACATGGGCTCCAGTATCCTGAAGGAACAAATGGCGTATGAACCAATCGTTGGTCACCGGCTACCATGGGACTGCATCTCCTTACGATGCTTCACTGCCTTGTGGATCAGACGTTCAGGTCGAAGGCTCGGGGTGTGGTCCCCTAAGAAAACCACCTGCTTCGGTTTGGGCACCCGGGTAGTATCATAGCCCTCACACAAACCAAGAGATTTGTGTGGCACATAGGTATCTTGTGCCTCATTGTACCGATATCTATGTGTTCAAATAATAATTAATAATGACTGTAGGAAGATAGAATAACAACCCGTTGACTGTACATAAAGAGTCCGTTTCTTGTTCTAATAGTTGTTACTGGTTCTGTTTAGAGCTAGTCAATAAGGTTGTTTGTTCCGCTTTCTTATGAAAAGGTTTTTCTGTTGATTGTGCTCTATTCACATGTGATTCATTATATTGCAGTGCACGGTCTGCCCCAGTTTTCCTTCATATCTCGCATCATAACCTTAATTAATTTCTCAACTTATAACTGCCTCATCATATATTCTTGTAGACATGCATATTATCCGTTATTTTAATTTACTAGGAGTCTTACAGATTGGACAAATATAAAAAGCTGATCTTTTTGGCGTACATGGAACTTATTTGTTCTGAAAGTAATAAATTCAACAGTTTATTTTGTGCTTTAAAATTCCACTAACTATATCCCACTGTGAAAATGTTCAGACCCTGGTAATCGATCGATTAATGTATGTTTATAAAATGTAGAATCTGATTACCATATGGGTCACATTTATTCAGTCTAACCCCTAGCTTTCTATGATTTTGATACTGTGTTCAAATTCAAATATCGAGCACTGATAATAGATTCACATTATCTAGATGCTTGTGATGAGGAAAAATTGCAGAAAACAAAATGGTCAATTGGTGACCAGATAAGTTGGATATCCATTTACAAAAGGTTGTTTTCATATCATATAAATCTGTTATATTTTATTACTGTGTTAAATGTTCGAACAAATAATTAGAAAACTAAAATGTTACTTAATCGGCAATTATAGTTACAGAGTTTCTCAAAGTTACATATTACACCGGCTTAGTATTACAAATGTGAGGTGCTTTTTTAAGTGTCTTCGTTAGTTTGATGTGTATTCTAAAAGTGGCCCGATAGTGTAAAAATGCCTTTATTTTGCAACCGGCTTTATTTCACTAAGACAACTTTCCCCTATTTTATTTAATGATTGCTTGTTAGTAAAACATTGATCAAAACCAAATTTCAGTTTCTATAACTTATGACTTTATCATTTTTGTTCGTAAGTACACGTAATAATTATGTAATGCACCTTCGTTAAGTAATGATATCGCTGAACAATAGTAGCCACTACACTACTAGATTGTTTGCTGTCCAACAACTTAATGTTATATTTTTTTATCTAAATATGTGACTGGATTTCAGTATCATTTCATTTAACGGACTTAGATATACTTCCATTATTTTCATTAGGCACGGGAAACGGGTTCTAGGTAAGGATGGCAAATCAATTGATAAAGTAGTGAAACTTAATCAGTTGAGATGGCTGGGACATGTGTTGCGCATGCTCGACCACCGACTGCCCCGACGTGCTATTTTTTATGGTGTAGGAGTAGGTTGGAAGAAAGCTCTCTCTGTGTTCTCTCAAACTCTAATCTTCTGTATTCTTCATGTCCCTTTTTGCTCTTTCCAAATTTATTCCACTGGACTATACTCCTTAAATAACATCATCAAACCCTAATGTTCCTTATCACTACTTATACTTTTAGTACCTCTACCACTACGGGATTTGAATCGATAACTGAATCTCTGTGCTAATGTGGTATAGCAACTCGAAGTGATGTACGTACGTATGAAGTTCCACGTTGTTACTGACTGACTGATTAGGCACTAACTACTGACTCAACTAATTATTCTCAGAGTTCAATGAAACTGATTGTTGTGCGATGTATTTATTGCTTTTTAAACAGGCAGAGGAATTAAATCGGCTGATTGGAAACGCCTTCAAATTTGCCTATGTTCGACAGCGCCTTATTAAGCTTCATCAAACTGGAAAACATGATTTTTCCACTCCCGTAAATATACCTCAACTTAGTGATTGTCATCCTGTTTGGCTTCCTCAAACTGAACGAAATCCCAATAGTCTTTCTTTGTTAAGCACTCTTAAACTCCCCCCACCTCCAAAGTTCCCTCCCCCGGTTTTATTCGAAAATGGAACTACAGCCGAACGGCAAACTAATCTGTCGTCTCCTGGCATTCATTACACCAATGCAAATGTTATCTCAGCATGTAATGATCCTGTCGCTAGTACTAGCACTATTATGTCTACTTTCTGCCATGATTCACTCGAATCATCTACTGTAAATATGTACAAAAAAGACATTGTTAAACATGAATCTTTACCTGTGACAGTGGAAAATCCAACAACTTCATCTTCTTCGTCAGATAACGATCCTAACCAACTTTCTGTTCATTCAGATTCTGTACTAGTCAGAGATAAAGAAGGACTAAACAATAAAAGTCAGTCTAATAAAGATGCTAGTGAACTGGAGAAAAAGTGAGTGAATTTTCGTATAAAAATTAGTAACAATAGTCCATTGTTTTGATTATTTGTTTGTATTTATGTTATATATATATATATATATATATATATATATATATATATCTTTGTGTTGGAGAAAAGTCACTGACCTTTACATATGGATATTCGAAACAAGTGTTTTCCTGTACAGATGGTGATTCATTGTCGATAAAGGAATTAATAGAATTAAAGGTTATCTACTAGTTGCCATCCTGGTTGAGAGAAGTTTCAGTTTATGATAATATTCATGGGAATTATTTCATAAATCATACTGTATTTTATTGCTTCTTGTGTATACGCTATTTTATAATGGTAGAACACGAAACATATATATATATATATATAACTTAATTTTAAGGCATTTTTTGTAGAAAAATTAGTCTCGTTCACGATCTTATGTCGCCGTTTGTATAGAATTAAGATATCTAATGTTTTACTGATATTTCACAGGAAATAATAATTTTATTATGGTAATTTCTATATCTGTTTTCGATTTAAATAAGCCTGATTAGCTTAAAGTTAATTAGTTCTGAATGTTAAGAAATGAACTCACTGAATTCCTGTATTTATGTGGTGAATTTTTAACGATGGTAATTTTGGTTCTCATTAACCTCTTGTAACAACAGCATAGTCAGTTGCTTGGTATCATCCTGTTCCATATTGTATCGCTGCTAAACAAAGTGTTTCGCTTCCTAATCGTGGGATTTATTATTTCAAGTTGTACCAGCAAACCAGTTGACTTGAGAATATTTTCAACAAACGACATAGTTTAAAATTGAGATATTGCGTTAGTAGTATGTCCAAAACGTCTATCTAAGCAGTACATTTTTTCATCTTTCAACATAGTATCCTTAAAAAACAGAAGCATTACACTAAAGGTATCTATAACTTCGGATTATTAAAATGATTACACATACCAACCAGATCATATCATTCGATTTTCATTTTCAAGGGGATCATTTGATTTTATATCAAAAATTTTACTAAGATGTTTTAAAAGTTTATGCAAGTTTAGATAATCAAAAAGGATAGAGGTTTCTAGTAAGATTATTTAAAATCATTTTAACCATTTAATTGGATCATATTATATCTCTACATGATAAATTTCTGTTATGGTATATAAACAAAGTGATAAAGTTTTTTTACCTAATATGTTATGTCGATTTTTATTCTATGGCTTATATCACTTACTTTTGCTAGTTTGTTTACAACTTTCGGAAGGGGAAATCAAATGTTTAAGTTAGACTAAACATTGCTTTGCCAACTACTGCAGTGAACAAAGACTTGGTGAGGAAAACCACTATTGTTTTATGCAACATCACACAGCGCCTCTGCAAAATATTAAAATCATATATTAAATACATCATTTGCATACCTTCTTCAGTTGTCCTTTACATACTCCATCATTCTCGCAATCTTGTTATTTCGATTTTTCTCTGTTTTCCTTCGTCTTTTTATTTCAGTTTTCTACTGGTAAGCATCCCACTTCCGACTCCTGCTATATACTACTTTTAATGCACATTACGCTAGATGTATAAGAAAAAGAATGACATCAGCTTCACAGTAGACCACAGAACTTTTTGATGTGCTTGAGCAGATGTTATCTTACTGTCTGTTATTTTGACCATTATAATCACTAAGTTTGTTTTTCCTAGTGTTTTGGTGACACTCGACGTCTTTCATTGCATAAGATGGATTGAAAATGTAGACCATTAACTTTCAATTCAGTGATCCTGATACCTAATGGTGCTGATGATGTTGACGCATACGTCAACTAAAACAGAATAGCTATCAAATAATACCTAGCTTTCAGTATTTCCCCAGTTCAAATCATTTCGTTAATTTGTTAGTCATCATATCATTACCCGAATTACTGCCTGTTGCATATACTACCTAACCATTTTTAATCATTTGCAAATGTAACTGTCTACTATCAGTTACATTTCAGATCTGAAGACTCATATTTTGTATACATAGATAAGTTTTCTGTATAGAAAAGGTTGATTGATAACAAATTAAATCTGTCGCAACCTAGTGGTCAATCACACGTTAAAATTCTTTTACTGTATGGTTTTATTAATCTCTAACCGATTTGTTTTACTGATCCTTGATATATTTTTCTTTGGTAGACTTCACCGCATTTCGACTCCACAGGCCATAGATTTAGCGTTCTTACGTCGTCATTTTCTTCGACGAAGCGAGGGCAAAGGATCTGAAAACTCCAAAAATGTCTGTGGTGGTAGTGCCAGGCAACCCCGCTTACGCCAAGGTTCAACTCTCTCAAATCTCCTGTCGTCTGCACGGCATAGTTCATTTTTTCCTAGCTCTTCTAGTTGTGTTATTGACAGTACAAATATCCTCCCTAAAACTTCACAATCACAAGAAACTTCGGATTTGTCTGATATGCTGAACACTCCTAACCCCACTCGCAGACCACCCATATTTGTGGATCTTCGTACTTTTGCTGGAGGAAGTCCAGTTGTTGCACTAAAAGAACGTTTGGATGCTCAAGCTATTGCAGATGCTAAGGCATCTGCTTTTGCCGAGGCTGCGGCTGTCCTTGCAGCTGCAAAACAGGTGTCATCCAAGTCCTTAGCTCCTTTGCAGCCAGCCACGAACAATACCTCAAGAAATGTAGAACAACTGACTAAACCAACAACGTGTCCTTTTACCAGTCGTACTCCGAACTCGTCATCCAGTGGAAATTCATCATCGGTAGAAACTTCCGATTTATCTCCACCTATACCACCAGTCAGGTATGTTGATACTGTATTTCCTTACTCAAAATTGTCAGCTTACCTAGATTTTCGCTTAGATTATGTATCCTCTAATTCTTTTCTCTTTATAAACAAAGAAAGTCAGTAAATTCTGGAATGTTTGAGTACATAACTAGTTAAACACTTATTTTCTCCGATTCTAAACTATCAGATCATATTCCCTTTTTGTTTAATTTCACTCAGTTCATCCTCAGGATCTTATCCACATTGCTATACTGCTAAAAATACTCTTCTTTCCACGCAAAGAGCGTTTGATTACTACCATTAATTAATCGTTGACAAGTTTATTCAAAGACTTCCCATGTACAACAATACATCCAGATAACAAAATTTATTTCTATGAAATTTTTTTATCAAAAAAAAATAGATGGTATCTGACTTAAGTCAACATGTACTCAACTGGACCGAAACGTCTCGTTAATTGTCACAAACGATTGTTTTATGATTTGTTATGAACATATTTTGTTTGATGATAGATGATGCGCAATTATACAATGTGGTCATTTAATAATTATCCACAAGATCAATCTATTGATGTAAACATTTAATAAACTAATATTGAAATATAACATAAATGGTCAACGAAGTAGGTTTATCTACTCATATACTACACTTGTACGCAAGTTGTTGGACACGAAAATAAACATAATTAACGGCCTTTTGAAAAGATAAAAGTTTTATGGGTCATGCACGTGGTGATGAAATTAAAAACTATCATTCTTACCTCTTGCCTATCAAGTTAATATTATAATGTCTGTTTAAACTGATGTTATGATTGGTCTGTATTTTATCGAAGTAACCATGTTAATCACCTTTCTGAGACTTACTTACGCTTGTCACTCCTAATGGAGCATAGGCCCCTGACCAACATTCTCAAACCCACTCTGTCCTGAGCCTTCTTTTCTAGTTCCATCCAATTCTTGTTCATTTTTCTCATGTCTATCTCCATTTCCCGGCGTAATATGTTCTTTGGTCTTCCTCTCCTCCTTCGGCCTTGAGGATTCCATGTGAGGGCTTGTCTTGTGGCGTAGTTCGGTGCTTTCCTCAATGTGTGTCCTATCCATTTCCAGCTCTTCGTAATTTCTTCCTCCACTGGGATCTGATTTGTTCTCTCCCACAATAGGTTGTTGCTAATCGTGTCCGGTCCACGGGTCCGAAGTATTTTGCATAGACAACTGTTAATAAACACTTGTATCTTCTGGATGATGGCTTTCGTAGTTTTCCAGTAGTACTGCCTTAACATTTGTATTGAAAATTCTGACTTTGGTGTTGGTTGACAGACAGTTGTTTTGAGTTCCAGATGTTCTTCAGTTGTAAATATGCTGCTCTTGCTCTGCCGATCCGTGACCTCACATCTGCATCAGATCTACCGTGTTCATCGATGATACTGCCCAAATATGTAAAGGTTTGTACATCTTCCAAATCTTCTCCGTCAATTGTGATTGGATTGGTGCATGCTGCGTTGTATCGGGGAATCTTGCTTTTTTCTTTGTGTGTGTTGAGACCTACTGCTGCTGCTACACTGGTCGTCTTCTCCTGCATTTGGTGTTGCGTTTGTGATGGAAGAGCCAGATCGTTTGCGAAGTCTAGATCATCTAATTGCATGCTAGCTGTCCACCACATCCCGTGATTGCTTTCAGATGTTGACGTCTTCATGATCCAGTCGATCACCAGGTCAAAGAGAAAGGGCGAGAGTAAGCAATGTTGCTTGACACCGGTCTTTACTTAGAACGAGTTTGTCAACTGTCCTCCATGAATGATTTTGCAGTTTAATCCATCATAGGAATTCCGTATGATGTTGACTATCTTCTCAGGCACGCCGTAATATAATAGAAGCCTCCATAGTGTTGTCCTGTCCACGCTATCAAATGCATTCTCGTAGTCAATGAAGTTGATGTAGAATAGTAAATTCTGTTGAATTGATTGTTCTTTATATTTCGCTAATGTTACTAGCAACATGACACTGCAGAACATCATTTGTACTGCCCGTAAGCATTGTATCATACATGTCTTATAGCCTAATGCATAGGAAAATGTTATCAAATCTAAAAGTATTGCTATGTGATTCAAACGAGCATTTTGAGACTTAAATATATGTTGTGTTCCCTAAGCAGATACCACCGTGTTCATCACCTGCTTCGGTCTGGGCACCCGGGCAGTATCACAGCCCACACACAAAAAAAGAAATGATAAACTGTCTATTTATGGAAAATATTCTTCCTGCTCCGAATAACAGTCAAATGACACATTATTAGTATTACTATTATTGTTATTATTATTATTATTTACTATGCCATTTATTCACCCTCTTTTATTCCCACTCTGTGTATACTTATTTTTCGACTTATACAGCAGCTCACCTATCGTGGAAATTCAGCTCTATCTAAACGTTCTCGAGTCACTGCCTGGTTGAAAATTGTATGTTATCATCGAATAAGAGTACTGAAGCAGTTTTTCTGAAACCACGTGCACCATTCAAACTGGCTGCCTTCAACGCTCGCACACTTATGCAGGTCGGACGACAGATAGAGCCGGCTATGTCTTTGGAAAGTCTTAATATTGACGTTTGTTGTCTATCCGAAACCCGTATTCAAGACCCTGGTGAAGTACTACAAATTCGCTCTCCATCTGTCGCTACAAAAAGCTTGTTTTACGTGCGTTTACCCGGGGACCCTGTGGCATCCTCGTCTGGTCTTGCTGGCGTTGTTGTCGCACTAAGCGCTAGAGCTGAGGCAGCACTAACAGTCGGTTATGTGCTGTTAGATTAGAAAGTTCCATCGAAGTGAGAAGAAATCGGCGTGAGAAGCGATGTCTTTTCGTCATCTCCACCTATGCCCCGACAGATTGCAGCCCGGATGAATTCTACCATCAGTTAACTGTTCTTCTCCAGAAAGTGCGTTCGACAGATATTGTAGTACTAGCCGGAGACTTGAATGCTCAGGTCGGGCGTCTAGGCACAGAAGAGAGTCGTATAGGTGGCCGATGGGGACTTGTTGGTCGCAGGACAGATAACGGGGACCGTCTACTGCAAATACGCACAGACCACAACCTGTTTCTGGCTAGCACTAACTTTCGGCACAGTCATCGCCGATGTTCCACCTGGTGTCCTCCTTTTGCATCTCAAGCCTGGACTCATTGATCACATCGCAATCAGCTACCGCTGGCGTGGTTGTGCACAAGACTGCCGCTTTTTTTGGAGTACCTATCTGGACTCTGATCATGCTCTGGTCTGCGCCAATCTCAACTTACTTTCCAGTGGCCAACGAAGTGACCGCCACCAAAGGATTGATGTCAGCAAGTTGGTTGCAACTTCTGTTGCTAGTAAGTATCGAACCGAGCTAGCTTCTAGGCTAGCTACCATTCCACCGAAAAATATAGATGAGCATTGGTTGCAATTGCATGACGCCATGAAAATGGCGAGTAAAGTCACTTGTGGGTTCGCGAGATGTCCCGCATACAAGCACTGGGTTTCTTCAGGCTCCTTACAACTCATTGAAGCCCATCGGTCTACTCTGGGTGACCGTGAGTTTGACCACAAACGAAGGCTGTTACGTACTGAAACTGGGCAAAGCTTGCGTAAGGACCGAGAAGCCTGGTGGTCGGAGCGTGCCAATGAGTTGGAAGCAGCAGCTGCATCTGGTTAATACCGCAAGCTCTTCCAACTCATCCGAGCCACTGGCAGCAAGAAGTCTGGTGTGAGCGAAACAATCTGCGAGGATGACGGGATGCCAATCACCAACATCCATCGACATCTTGGATGATGGGTAGAATTCTTCGAAGGGCAGTTGAACTGGCCTGCTGCTCCGGCAACATCGGTCAGACTGTCCTGCCCTCCATGGCCGGTGACGACTGATCCACCAAATGAGGCGGAAGTCCGCAAAAAACTCCAACTCTTGAAACGCTACAAATCACCGGGCCCAGACGACTTACCTCCGGCTCTTTTTAAAGATGGTGGTGACTTTCTGACTAAGGGACTGACGACGTTGTTTACAAAGGTCTGGGAACTAGAGTGTGTACCAACGTCATGGAATGAGTCGATAGTTGTCCCTATCTTTAAAAAGGGTTCACATCGTTCCTGTATCAACTATCGGGGGATAAGTCTACTTCGGATTGCGTCCAAGCTATTGGTTTCTGTCATACTTCGTAGGTTGTTCAAAACCCGAGAAGGATTGACTCGCGAGGAGCAGGCTGGTTTTCGTTCCGGTCGAGGATGTATTGATCATATCTTCACCCTCCGCCAAATGCTAGAACACCGTCATACTTATCAAAGGCCAACAATCGTAGTGTTTCTTGACATCAGGGCTGCCTTCGATTCGTTGGATAGGACTTTTTATTGCTGGGATTGTCTATTAAAGAAGGGTGTGCCTGAGAAGTTTATTAACATCTTAAAGGCCCTATACACAAACACCTCAGGCAGAGGGAAGGCATACAACCACCTTTCTCCATTGTTCCATTCGAGCAGTGGGGTTAGGCAGGGTTGCCCAATCTCACCATTCTCTTCAACTTTGCCATCGATGACATTCTGGAAACAGCTCTGATGGATGTAAGTAACGGTGGTGTGGATCTGTTGCCTGGAGAAAGACTTCTCGACCTTGAGTATGCGGATGACATTGTTTTACTGCGCGATAATGCCCAAGCTATGCAATCCGCACTTAATCAGTTGGCAATCAGTGTCCGTAGGTATGGTATGTGCTTTGCACGTTCGGAGTGCAAAGTACTTCTACAAGACTGGCAGGATTCTAATCCTGTACTCACTCTGGATGATGAGCAGATAGAAGTAGTCGAGAAGTTCGTGTATCTGGGTAGCTGCATAAGTGCTGGTGGTGGCGTGAGTGATGAGATCGATGCACGTATAGTGAAAGCCAGAGCGGCTTATGCCAGTCTGGGCCATCTTTGGCGCCTTCGCGATGTTAGTCTGGCTGTTAAATATCGGATCTACAACGCGTCGGTGAGAGCAGTTCTGCTCTATGTTTGTGAAA